CCCCTGCCCCCCCCCCCCGCTCAGCCATGGGAACTCATTGGGGATGTGGAACTGGCATAACTGCTCCTTGAATAGCTCACTCACTTTGAAAGCCCTGCTAGGGTGGCTGTAAGTCAGTTCTGATTTTAAAGCACATAACATGAGATAACACACAGACTTCAACAAAAAAAAAGTGGGGAAACTATGATCATGATGATGTCAAATTTCTCCCAACAAGGGACCCAAAGCAGCTCACAACATTAAAATCACACAAATAAAAACATGAGTTAAATATTAAAAGACAAATTAAACAATTTATGGATTAAAATAAAATTAATGCTATCTCCAACCTCTAGAGTAGTCAGATAACCTGCCAGTTTCTTCACAATAGGTTCCAGTGCACATGTCTTCGCTCTAGCATCACAAACAAAGCCAAGATTGAAGAGCAAGGCATTTCGGCTGTATTTCTTGTGTTCAATACAAACTGGGCAACCAATTAGCTTTTTTTCCATTGCTGTACTGTGAGAGAGAAAAATAGTTTAAAATTCTTCAAAACAGCACTTACAATACTTGCTGGGCAACTGCATTCACTCAGCACCATACATGGGCCCCTCTAGAGCAGTATTCCCCAACCTTGGGCCTCCAGCTGTTGTTGGACTTCAATTCCCAGAAATCCTGGCCAGCAGAAGGCTTCTGGGAGGTGTAGTCCAAGAACATCTGGAGGCCCAAAGTTGGGGAACACTGCTCTAGAGCACCCACCCAGCCTTTCATGTCCTGGGGTCTTTCTAAAAGCATCCACTGTCTCCCTAAGAACTGTTCTGCAATCTACTCACTTACCCAATTGCTCAAAACTGTTCTCCCAATTTACCTAGAGGTGACATATGCAGGTCAGAGTTTCTGTACATATTTCTGTCAAGTGCCAGGCTGTTGTGTGTTTGTGTGCGTGTGCTTCTGGCTAAAACAGCTGATTGGCTAAATTCATGGTTATGTGACAGGACAATATGCATGCAGTGTTCTAGTTTCTAAAAGTGTGCGCACTAGGCTTGAGGGAGGAAGGTGGGAATGACCTCTTGTGAAATCTGCTCCCTCCAAGATAATATCATAAACTGACGCTTGGCTGTCACTGGAATCCAAATTTTTCTTCTCCGCTTCTATTTAGCTATAACATTTTTAGATAATGTGTGCTTGACATTTGATTTCATATCAGTTTCACCTCTAAGTATTTTACTGGTTACACAGAAGCATAAGAATTCATCCTTTCAACAGCCCAGTTTTATGGATGTCTTGCTTCAACTCAGTGAAATTATACTGCCTAACTACAGTCTTAGTTACTTCTTTATTAATTTAACTTGAATGCTGCACACACTAACCAAAGTTCTCTGGGCGGATTACAACAATTAGAATATTTATTTATTTTATTTATTAAATTTATACCCTGCCCATCTAGACCAAAGTCTACAATAAAAAGATAAAACAATTAAAATACAATTTAAAATACAGTGCTCTAAAAATTGCCATCAGGACCCAAAGATGATATTATTTCAATTAAAAACCTGGAAGAGGAAGGATTTGACCTGGTGCCGAAATGTCATCAGCGTTGGCACCAGACGAATCTCCCACGGATGGGGTTCCATAGTCTGGGGACAGCTGCCGGAAAGGCCCTTTGTCAACAAGCCATCCCTCTTACCTCCTTGAGGGATGGCTCTTTCAGGAGGCCCCCCGGCTAGATCTTAACTGCCGGGTAGGTTCATATGGAAGGAGGCAGTCAAAACAAGCACTTTGAATTGGGCCCAGGCAGCAACAGGTAGCCAGTGTAACTTAAACAGAATCTGCTTGATATGTTCCCTAGTAGCCCCACCACCCACCAGCTGCACAGCTCGATTCTGGACCAGCTGCAGTTGCCAGACCGTCTTCAAAGGCAGCCCCACATACAGCGCATTGCAATAATCTATATGGTATGTTACCAGTGCATGAGACTCTGCTCGTCCAGGTAGGACCATAGCTAATATAATTTCTGCAGCTGAAGGAAGGCACCCTGGGCCACCGAGTCCACCTGGGCTTTCAGAGTTAGACCGGGGTCCAAGCGCACCCCCTGGCTGCAGATCTTGTTCCTTAGGGGGAGTGCAACTCCATTCAGGGGAGGGAAATGAAAGCACCCACTAACAGCACTTCCATCTCATCTAGACTGAGTTTCAATTTATTAAGTCCATTATCAGGTCCAGGAGTATCAACGGGATCACACACACCCGTCTCTCTTCCAGCAAAGGTGGTACAGGGTGACCAAGGCAGTCTCCGTACCAAAACCTGGCCTAAACCCGATAGAAATGGATCCAGAAAATCCGTTTCATCCAGCAGTGCCTGGAGTTGCCCGGCCACATCCTGTTCCAACACCTTGCCCAAATAAGGGAGGTTCTTTGAGAAAGGGAGAAGAAGAGAGAGGAACTAACCAAACAAAGATAAAATTACAGGGCAGCTGCCACACTCTGCCTAACAATAGGGCCAATTTCAAGCAGGGACAAAGCTATAGCTGGAATAAATGTGCTTAAATGTCTATGATTAAAGAAGTAGGGATGACCTATGAAATTCAAAAACTGCCGTTTACATCACTTTTAATACTTACACTGTGATAAGCTTGTTCTGCAGTTCAGGCTTGGTGATAATATATACCTGAACTGTATCAAAGAGCTCTCGTGAAATGAAATCTTCTGGTACCTGCAAAATCAAAATAGAGAACTGCAAACTGGTTAAAAAAAAAGCTCGTGGGTCTACTAACTGTAGGCAAAACCCTGGTTTCTCATGTAAGACAACAGTGTTTGCACCTTTGCCACAAAGGGTTTTTATAAATCTTTTATTTTTTTTCTATCATCTAAAAAGTGATAAATGTTTTTATTAGCTGCTATAATAGGAATACTTTAGTTTAAATCTATGTCTAGGTGGAGTGGCCTTGTTAAGAAGGAAGAGAAGTGTGCTATGAAGGGAATCACTTATTTGCAAGGAAGTAGCATCTTTTGTTTCTGATCTGTGGTGCTCTATTCTCCAGAACCAGTGAGGCAGAAATTTAAGATGACAAATAGATACTTAAAATCATGGGGCAGAGCTTCAAGAAATGGAGTAGATCTGACAGTTTATTCAGGTTACCTCATGAAGGGAAGGACCACAGCTCAGAAGTCCTGCATGTGCTTTGCATGTATAAGTCCCTACTTTAATGTTCCAATATCTTCAGTCAAAAGGAACAGCTGTTCCTTTTGACTGGAGATATTGGAATTTTAAAGTAGGGACTGTGAATGAAAGCAGTTTTCACCTTCACAGAGGCAATACTGAGCAATATGGGCAATTTGAAGTGATATAAGGCAGCTTCACATATGCCCTCTATCAGCAGCTACATCACTCAGAAATTTCCAAGGAAATTTCCAGTTTTAGTCTGCTACACCCAAACCAACAAAAAGTCTTGTGGTACAGTATCTTGAAGACTGCCATGTTTTATGTAGCATAATTTTTGTTAAACTATAGCCCACTTGCATCTAAAGAAGCAGGCTGCAATCTAGGAAAGTCTACAGCAAAGAAAATCAGGCCATCCTTTAAGGTCCCACAAGGTCCTTCATTGTTCTTATATCATTTATATCACACTACAAATGTTTGGTACCACTGACCTGATACGTTATTTTTGGCCCAAGGGTGGGGTGGAATTCACTAAAAAAGATACACTCAATTCTGCTGCTGCATTCCATTGTGACAACTGCAAAAAATTAAACAGAGAATTGATGGCAACTCTTTCAAAGTACATTTCTTCTAAATTCAGAATTCTCAGTTTTAATGGAAAAAAAATTCTAGCAACCTGGAAAAAAATCATTCAACATGTAATTCTTCTTCAAGCTAACAATTTTACTGACCTCAACCACAGGAGGGCCATAGTAAGAAATCAGTATTTGACCTATATGTGAAGAAGAGTGGAGCTAATAACCATGCCGTATCTAACTCCATACTGAAAACATATCTTTTCAGACATCACAGAATGCTGTGTCCCTTTGTAGTGACACAATTTTGTTCCAGCAGATGTATCTTCATATAGTACAAAAGAAATTAACATTCTATTTTCAATATTCCTCCTCAAAAGTTCCACTTGCCAGGACAGGACACCTTCATCTGTGAAAGACACCAGTTCATGGAAGTGGAAGGCATAAGTTCTGTCACTTATGTTAAATGTTTTCCCACTCCCTCATCTGAGTCAGACTGAAGCACCCAGATGTCATTATTTTTAGAAGAAAAACACCTTGTGGAAAAAACAACATTTCCATATCTAGTTGCAGAATTCTAGAATTCCCTCACTTATAGACAAAGCAGCTTAGCTTAGACAACTAGCTTTGTACTTTAATTACAAATGAATTTTCAGGATACTGGATATCCACCACACTTAACACACACAAACATCTCTGTACGCAGTTAAGAGGGAAACAACTCTTTTTCTTCATTCTGTTCAGAACTGATGAGGAAGGTCTAAATCTCCATTTAGGGTAAGCATATTATAAAATCATTATAAGGCATTAAATCATTTTCAGGATCCACTTACAAAATTATTAAGGAGTATGAGTCAAGAAGGGTCCAGTACTTTGTCCTTGTTCCACTATTTATGGGCTGCTTTAATGTACTCTGTGAAAGGCTGACATTTTCATCATCTCTTTTTATCCTGTAGACTCAAGTAGCTCTCTGGCCCAATTTCATATATGGTTGTGGACTTAGATCAATTATATCATACTCTGTGGATTCATGTGGAGATCAAGCCAGACTTCATGTGCTTTTTGGCAACCAGTTCTGGCTGCTGGACTGTTTTAGGGAGAATGGAGACCTTCGCAACCTGTTGTGGCCTACAACTCATGCCATCTTCAGTTGGGAGAATGACACATGCTAATTGGACTTGGAGCAAAACACTGCAATGTACCTTCATCCATTAACAACGGTTCTTCCTGTTCAAGGTTCTAGACAGCTACTGCAGTCTTTAGGACACAACTCTGTATAAGCCAAGACCTCCATCAGTGGTAAAGAATACAAATTGGGGTGAGTAACTTGTCACCTTTCAGCTCATACCACCTTACCACTTATAGCCAGCACAGGCAATGGTGGGAGAAGATGGGAGTTGGAATCTAAAGACTGATGGGGCCATCAGTTGCTCAAACCTGCCATTTAAAAATGATCTCCTTCCTCTGGTTATCCATTGTTTGTTAATCAACATCAAACATTCTGTAGCTCAGATTATTATTATTTTATTTGTAATTTGGAGAGGCAGATTGCTCGCTCCATTATCTTTAAAAATGTTTTATAATACTGTACTTTAACACTTATCTGCATACTCACTGCTGTACCAAAGTACTGTATCAATACTGCTGTACAGTATGGATACAGTATCTCATTTACTGTTTCCCAGTGATTCAATTTTGGCTCACATCATATTAGCACTGAAGTGTCCCTGTCAGAGGGAATAAACACAACCTACAACAAAATGTGCTCCTGTTCAGAGCTTTATTCATTTAACCAAGCAGGCCCCCTCCCCTCAAAAACGTACTCCATTCTGTTTTCCTATACACATATGGTTCTCACCCTTGGTTAACCCAAGTGTTCTTGAACTGCAACTCCCTGAAACCCTGGCAAGCACAGCTGATGGTGAAGACTTCTGGGAGTTGCAGTCCAAGAACGCCCTTCTGTAATGCAAAGCATTTGAGGATCGTTGCGGTCACGAATGGGCAATGAAGAGCTGTTAACTCTGCACAAGACCTCTTCCTCTATGGTGGAGGGGGGTCAAACCCTTTTTTGCATTTTATTACTTCTGGGAGTGGCGGGGGAGACGGAGAGGCAGTCACACTGACCACCTGCGCTTCCAAATTTACCACCTCCTCCCGGTTTACGAAGCAACCGACACACGAGGATGCCCATCCAAGACCAGCCTCACCAAAAAGGAATATTGTCCCTCACCCTGAACCCGTTACCCAAATGCAAGCACAGCACCTCAGGCTGAAAGAGCCCGGCTACACACCGCCTCCCGAGATGGCCACAACATAACTCCGAAGCAAAAGCTCACTTACCTTCCCGCTGAGACGCGCTCAGCACAACACGCATGCGCGAATTTGACTCCCAGTAGGGCCGGCCGCGGACAGAGCGATTAGTTTTTCCACGCAGGCGCAGTGGCGGGGGCGGAGCGAGACAGCGGCGTAAGGGCGCATGCGTACCGTACACGGTCGTGTTGCCGACTGGGGAATTCAGCGCTCCTGTAAAAGAGGCAGAAGGCAGCCTTCCTTCTCTCTCCTTCCCCTTCTTCTCGAGAAATACGAATATTAATAATACCGAAAGAAACGTAAATAAGAACGTGTCTTTCTAATTACTTGCCTCCACCCTTCTTGAAGGCTTGCTTTGACAGGATTTTCCTTGTGATGGACAGCGCGGCTTAGCCTTTCCGAGGCAGGACCTGGCCGGTAGGGTAGGCGGGACCTGACGGGTCAGCCGAACCAATCAGAAGGCGGAGTTGGCTTCCCTGGCTTCTCCCGAGAGCCGCCGTTCCTGTGCGATGCTGGCCGTTCCGAGAGCGCGAGGTGAGTGTGAAGAAGCCCCCGTTCCTCAGCCTTTTTCCTTCCCTGCCTTTCGGAGCGAGGGCGGGTGGGCGGAGATGCCTCCTTCCTTCCTTCCTTCACGGCTGTCGCGTGGCTGGCTCGGAATATCCCTGAATATCCTGCATAGATTTTTTTTTTTTGGTGGAGCTGCTGGCAGCGCCCACCCACACCCACACCCGCCCCGTCTCTGCCTTTGCCAGCGGGGCATGCTTTGCAGAAATAAAGCCCTTTTCCAGCGCCCGAATCCGCGCCTAATCCCGGATTAGAAAAAAAAAGCGATGGGCGGCTTCTCGGTCCGAGGAGAGCGGCGCTCCCTCCCTTAGCTGCCCTTGCTGGGGGGGGGGAATCCGGAAGGACGCCGGGGCATCTCCCTGCCCTTGAGGACTTTTCGGCCCCGAGTCTTTCGACGGAGCACGGGCGGCTCTATCCCTTTTTATTATTTTGCGTGTGCCTGCTCTGGTCGTCTCTGCCCTCCCGCCCAGGATTGGGCTCTCCAGGTCGATGCCCTACGCTTGCTGATAGCACAAGATTTAAGCTAAAAGGGAGCATCGTTAGCGGGGAGGAAAAAGAAAGCCTCACGGATTTTCGTTTCTCGCCTGCAAGAGGCAGCGGCCCCATCGCTGCTTTAACTACAGTACTCTGAACGCCCTCCGGTTATTCAAAGTTCAAACGCAAAGGCTGTAGTTTTAACATTTAGCTTCCTGGTTTCCAGCGCTTACCTGTGTATCTTAGGCAATAAGGAGCTTTCCCTCCTTAATGAAGGGAGGGTTCGGTCTGCCTAACAATGTCGGTTTGTGTTTGAAACGAAGTGGATTCGAACTTACGACTGCTTGGTCTTCTGACCCTGCAGCACAGTGCGGTGCGGTTTAGCCCACAGCGCCACCACGTATCTGTATATCTTAGGCAATAAGGAGCTTTCACTCCTTAATGAATGGAGGGTTCGGTCTGCCTAACAATGTCGGTTTGTGTTTGAAACGAAAGGAAAACAGACACCCATGTCTTCTCCCAGCTCAATCAAGCTTCGTTTATGTGTATTGGCACCGATCTCATTCCTTTGACATCGTTGGCTTAACACTGAGAGTGCGAAATGTGGAGTAGCAGTGCTTGAACCAGTTCACTGATCCAGGAAGAGCCCCTTCGTCTTTGACAAGATTCTGACAGACACACACAGTATGGGTTGAAATCAGCCATGTGTAACTTGTACAATTTGTATATATATTGTTGGCCTGGCTTTGCAGATTTAGCAAAATACCTGGAAGTATGATAAACACAAGTGCTTGGTCTGATACATAACCTACATGTGAATTCCTCCATGGAAGTGTATCCTGACTGTAGATGGATGTTGTAACATCTACAGTGATCTGTAGTGTGTGATGATCTGGGTGCTCTGGACCACAATTCCATCTCTCTGCTTCTTACAGGGTTTTGTTAAATATGAAATAAGAGTACATATGAGCGCACATGATTGTATATAACTTTGTAATCATTGAAATATCCTCCATGACTAATCTGTAATAATTGGAGGGAATGTAGCATGTTTGGTTTGCACTGGGTATACAGTATTGCATAGCAGTTAGGAAGAATTCTTTCAGATTTTTCTGCTGGTGCTTATAGCCATAGGGGATCTCCTGCATGTTGAGAAAAAATTCTTGGGGTTTATATTAGTTAAAGCTTTGCAGGCGAAGGTGGCCTCATGATCTGAACTTACTAAATTATACTTTAAACTGACAGGCATCTGCATGTGTGGTTAGCTCTCACAGCCTGCTGCAGTCCCTTGCTGTAGGAAACTGTAATGACAGCATTGTGTCCTGGTGCAGATACTTGCTGTAGTAAAATATACATGCAATTAAGGAGGCTTTCTGTAGAGAAACTATTGTTACCTGCCGAACCTGGATTCTAAGATTCTCTGGCAAGGAATCAGGCATTTATCAAAATAGCCTGGTTGGTTCTGAGTCCTGTACATCTTCATCTGGATAGGAAGGCACCATAAGTTGTTCTGCTTTGGGTAGCAAAATGCCTTAGCCTCACCCTGGCTTGCAGTTTTTTTTTTCCTGTGTGGCTGACTTTGTTATTTGTCAGTGTGTCTTTATATTTTTTCTTATCCAGGACTGAAGACGCCAGTCCTGCTTGAAGGATGGGAGTCAATGGTTTCTCCTCACCTCTTTTATTTAATTTAAATATTTTATTTAAATTAATATCTGCATGGCACTTGAAAGCCAGGATGGCATAGTAAGTAGAGTTTTGGACTAGTCCTCAGGCGATCTGGGTTTAGATCCCTGTTCGACCATGGAAGTTCTCTGAGTAGTGGCACTGGTAAAAACATTCCTTAAATATCTCATGTATCTTTAAAACTTGATTAGGATCACCATAAGTCGGATGTGACTTGATGACACAACAAGGCATGTCTCTCTGGCCATGTATGGAAACTGCCAGTCCAGCAGGGAACAACAGCAGTGGCTTGCTGAACTCGTGGGTTGCAATTCGGAGAATGCAGGGGTAGCGGAAGAATGTTTGCTTTCCTGTGGTAGAGCAGCAAAATGGACTTGGGTGCTCCAGATCCACCAAAGTCAAAGTGCACAGTGCCAAAAGCAAATTATTTTGGAACATGAGGCAGACAACCCCATAAACACCTCTTGCTATCCTTTACAATGGAAATACAGTAACAATAAAAATACAGTAACAAAGCTCTTAGTGATAGGAAATGCTCAAACCATCTGCATCTGGCCAGTCTTCCTGTTCAGTGGTTCTTAACCTTTGTTACTCGGATGTTTTTGAACTGCAACTCCCAGAAACCCCAGCCAGCACAGTTGGTGGTGAAGGCTTCTGGGAGTTGCAGTCCAAAACTCCTGAGTAACCCAAGGTTAAGAACCACTGTTCCTGTTGATAGTGGGGCTATCTCTGTGTTAGAAGTTTTACTTCATGACTTCTTCAGCTTCCAACAATTGTGTCTTGGTGCTATGTGTGTTTAGTCGAGTTAATTTCTGCTCAGAAGCAAGCTTCTGTTCAGAGAGTTAGCTCAAATTATAACGATTCAAAGTACTACCGAACTGCTTTCTTAATTATTCTCAATTATTTGGTCACCTAGGTCCTACAGGACCAAATTTTACATGGGCCAATGTTTCCTTAAATCATAATTGCCTTTATAATGTGCCATAGTGATGGCTGATGCTGCCAAAATAGCACTACCTGTTGCTGTTATAGGGAGGGAGGGAGGAAGAAGGCATGAATATAACTAAACAGCTCAGTGGGAAAACTCAGTAATCTTTGTGGCAGGATTACTCAGGTATGAATATGACAGACCAGATGGGGGAAGTTCTGAGTTTTTCATTTATTTGCAAGCCTTTACCAGGCTTACTGGTGGAACTTATTTCTGGATGTCATACTATTTTATTATGGTTTCTGCTTAGCTACTGGTGTTCTTAGTACTATGATCTCCCCTTTCCTTCCCACCAGATGACTGCTAGAAGCATGAGAAAACGGATGTGGCTTCTGTTCTAAAGACAACATAGTTCTATAGTTCTCCCTTGCCCTGATGTGCTAGGGAAGCTGATCTGTGCTGCATACCAGAAGTCTGTAACTGGGGAACAGTGGAAGGCCAATATCTTATAGATTGTGCCACTGAAGACATGGCTCTGAGCATTGAAACAGAATCGCGAATATACCGCTCCCTCCGGGCTATCTTTGGTGCCACTGCCCACCTCGTTGCACTTGGATTTACTATCTTTGTTGCCGTGCTTGCCCGACCTGGATCAAGTAAGTTTGGGCTAGGGGTAGCTTCAGAGGGGTGTTCCCTCCCAACAGCTGTATGGAAGACTGGTGAAACTAAAGCATGGGCTGGAAGTATGCACCCCTCCAAAATTCTGTCCTGAAGACTCATACATAATATCAGTTGTTCAGAGGTCAATAACTCTTGCCCACTCTTGGGCAAAATTTACTTCAAGGGCATAACTAACTTGTAAACTTCCCAGAGAGGGCTTTAAGTGCTATTGGGGTGATGTATAAGCAGCACAGTTTGTTTTTGTTAGAAAACCACTGGGCTAAAGCAGGAAGGGGGGAACTCTGGTCCTCCAGATAGTTTGTACTTTATCAGCTTCCCAGAGTCCCAGCCACCATGGCTAATGGTAAGGGATTGTGGGAATTTTGGTCCAAAATATGTGCTGGGTCAGAGGTTCCCCACCTTTAGCTCAAAATACTGCTAGCTTTGAGACACATAGCATTGCATATAAGTTTCTTTGTAATACCTCTGATTCTAATGAAGATATTCATCTACAGTTATGGTCACCAGTCCTGTTTATGTATAAATGGTTGATTGTGACTATGAGTAGCTTTGGCCCACTGAAGAGATTTTGGCTAGTGCAGTAGTGTAGCATTTCTGTTTTTCCATTATTAAATGTAACATGTGAGCTTTGTCATAGTAAGCTGATCCGTTGACAGCAGTGTCTCCTGTTCTCCAGTTACAGTCCTGGATATTTTGTGAGAATGCATTTTTAGCCTCTCTGTGTTAAATGAACCCCTCAATGAAATTGGAGTCAATGATAAACAATGGCTTTAGATGAGATCACCAGACCTATTTTAAGTAGTGACACGTGAACCTACTAGGTACAGGGAAAATTGTCCACTGTTGTAATCTTATATACTTCTTTTGCTCAAAGTTTTTGTTTGTAAATTAATGTGATCAATGTTATGTCCAGTTCCACGCCAATAAAGAATCTTGTGAGACATAATATCTAAAAAGATTCCTTGTGGAACATAAATTCTCCTGAGCCACTATAAATCTGCTAGTCTTTATACAGTCATGGACTTTTTGTTTTTACTGCTCCAGATAAAGGTGGCCACCCTTTTGGATTTGGTGCAATTCACCTGAAGTGTCTCTCCCCAACTCCACCCCGGGTATTGTTATAGTCACTTCAGGTGACATCGGACACTTGTTTTATTACTCCTTCAGATCCAAAATAAAAACACCTGGTGCTTTTAGGAAATTTGCAAACAAGGCTAAGTGTCAGAAAAGTGGAATTTTATAATGGATCCTGAAGTTACCATTTTCAGTGTAAAAGCATCGCATGTTTTCCCACTATTACTCCAGTCTTTTTTCTTCTCATAATAAACTCTTAAGGAGAGAAGGGCAAAGTAGCTCCACCATGCCTTGTGACTGCCTGCAGTTAACAGGAGACTTCTGTCTGAAAGCACTCTTAGTAATATGTGACATATCTCGCCAACAAAGCAGTGGCTTCAATGTGGTACCCCTAGTGTGGCCACTTTTGTGCACATTTAGTCTTGTTTGCAGATGGTCCTGCTGGTGGGATTCCCTTAAGCAACAGGTTGCCCACTTGTAGAACAGAATGCTGGACCAGATAGACTTTTGCTCTGATGAAATGCAAGTTGGATTGATTCTACAATTTAGGTAGTTGTTTCCAATAGCAGGCAATATTTTTCAGTGGTGACATCTAAACATCTGTATGCTAGCTGATCTGACTAGAGTGACTCATTCTGCTCTTATTTCTTTCCAGGCCTTTTCTCATGGCATCCTCTCTTAATGTCTCTTGCGGTAAGCCACCCAAAAGCATTCTTTTCCACAGCTTCCCCAATGAAATCTTGTCTGTGCTACTGTATAGTTGTTCAGATAACAAACTGATTCAGCAAGGGGGAACTTTACTAGTCTGGACATGGGAGGCAATTCTGCACTAAGGAGCAGGCAAGGTGATGCCACTCCTTCTGCCTATTGTGGGTCTGAAAGCCATTAGAATTCTCTGTTGGTAATTTTATAGTCTAAAGTTATCATAGATAATGATTCATAATGCTTCAGTGTACCTTCCAAAGCTTTATCCCCTGCTATACTGATGGGATTCAATGTAAAATTAATGTAATGTATTGCGAGAGATCTGCCTTTTTACAACAGATCGCGATCTGGCCAGC